CCGGTGACGTAGTCCATGGTCACATGTTGCCACGGTCGTTCGGGTGGCTCGAGTGGCTGCAGCAATCCAGCTGGGCGTTGGCGTGATGCCTTCATCGCGTGGCAGGTCGGGCAGGCGAACACGTAGTGCTGCACGTCCAACGCCATGTCGGGCGAGTAATAATTCCGCTGCAGCAGCTTCAACGTTTTGTCGACGCCGAAGTGCCCGGAGAGGTTAGAGTCGTGAACCTCCTGCGTTAGCAACTCTCGTAGGGGTCGGTAGGAGGGTACCCAAACCCGGTTAGCACCGATTTTTAGGTAGTAGCTCCCGTGTGCCGTGGTGACCCGTTGGTGTTGATTCGTCCTGGAAACCGATCAGTCCTGTAGCCATGCTTGAATGATCCTGCCAATAACGGGTTGGAATGGGCAATTAGTACTGATGCGGTCTGCATTGATGGGCGGGTCAGGGCGTCGGCGATGTTGTTGGCGCCCTTCTTGTACGTGACGGTGTAGGTGAAATTCGACTTGAGGTAATCGAGCCACCAGATTTGTCGCGGGATAAGCTGTGGATGGCTGCGCATGTACTGTAGTGACTTGTGGTCTGTTCTGATCGTGACGTCGGCTCCAGTGAGGTAACAACGCCAGGTGCGAAATGCATGCACAATGGCCAGCATTTCTTTGTCGTGTACAGGGTAGTTGCGCTCGGGTGGCTGCATTTTTCGTGACTCGTACGCGATGGGTTGCAGCCCGTTGCCGAAATCCTGTTGAAGGACGGCGCCGACAGCGAAATCGCTGGCGTCCGTCACGAGTTCGAACGGTCGAGATGGATCTGCCAGCCGAAGCACCGGGGGTGAACTCAAAATTTTCTTCAGCTCGTTGAAGGCCAGCTGTTCTCTCTCCCCCCAATAGAATTGCACGCCCTTGTGGAGAAGATCGGTTAACGGCCTGGTTACCCCCGCCATATTTGGTACAAAACGGCGGACGTAGTTAACGAAGCCGAGGAAACTCTGCAACTCTGTGATGTTCGTGGTCGGTTTCCACTCCGAAATTGCCGTCACTTTGCGAGGGTCAATTTTAATGCCCTCCCCTGACACTACGTGCCCCAAGAACTTCAGCTCCGGCTGTAAGAACTCACACTTAGAGCCCTTCGTAATCAGTCGGTTCTGCTGCAAGCGTCGGAACACCTCCTCTAAATCCTGTAAATGCTGCTCCCGAGTCTTGTTGTACACCCGGATGTCGTCTATGTAAACGATGACTTTTTTGTCCAGCATGTCCCGAAACACCCCATTCATGGTGAGCTAGAAGGTCGAGAGCGCGTTCGTCAACCCAAACGGCATCACTATATACTCGTAGCTGCCGTAGCGGGTTCGGAACGCGGTCTTTGGACACTCGTCGGCGAACACGCGAATTTGATGGTAGCCACCTCGCAAGTCGATTTTCGAGAAGAAGCGAGCTTCGCGAAGTTGGTCCAGCAGGTCGTCCGCTCGCGGAATCGGGTAACGCGACTTGATAGTGACCCGATTCAGCGCCCGATAGTCGATGCACATGCGCAGGCCCCCGTCCTTCTTCGGCGTGAACAGTATCGGGGCGGCGTATGGTGACGTGCTCGGCCGGATAAAACCCTTCGAAAGCAGATAATCCAGCTGTTTCCGCAACTCGTCGAGCTCCGGTTGGCTGAGCCGCCACTGTGACCAAACAATTGGTTTTGCGCCTGGCTCCAGCTCGATCCTGTGGTCTTCTGGTCGCTGAGGTGGCAGCCCGCCAGGTAGGTCATCCGCGAAAATGTCGGGATACTTCCGAATTATGCTCGCCACGTCCTCTGGTACAGCAGCGCAGAGCGTGTCAATGTCGGCGATTTTCTCGGACTCCACCACCTCGTACAGCTGTACGGCGTAGCCCTGCGCTCCCCGTTTTATCGCCCTCTTCAGCGTTATCGCGTTGACACATGTTGTCATCGGCTCCGGCTCTGCCCATTTTGGGAGTGTCACGCGCCCCTTGTTGCACAGCACCGTGGTCGCCCCCATCGTCCAGTCGATCGTCGGATGAAATCACTGTAGCCAATTTTGTCCCAGCAGCACATCGCAACCGTCCAGTGTTGTCGCCAGCATCCGCATCAAAAACCCGAAATCGTCACCACACTTCATCCGAATTTGTCGCACCTCGTCCTTGATCGCCGGCGGTGTCCCATCCACCAGTCGCGCGTCAATCTCAGGCAGACACCTGTCCAGCTTGACTCCAATTTTATGGCCGTCGTCAGGTTGACGAGACTGTGGCTCGCCCCACCGTCCGTTAACTCCCCCACGACCAGCACAGGGTGATCCACATGTTCATCCACCTTATTGTCAGAACTATATTGTAGGCTCTAGTGGGGCACTCCTTATGGGGTACAGTACTGTTAGTTTTTGCCTATACAAACCTTGTACTGTCCTGTTTCTAGTTATTCGCGTTTCCTACTTTGTGACATGGTTTCAGAGCAGGTTCCCTAGTGGGAACGTTTTTTTTCTAAGGGCCCACCGTATTAGCTTTTTTATTTTTTTTACTGCCCTGCCCGAAGCGCGCGTCGCGCCTGCCTCGCCTGCGCCGTCGCGCGCTCTGCCCTAGTGCCGCCCTCAGCGGCACTGCCCTTGCGGCCCGTCGCGCCCTTACCCCAACGGCCCGTCGAGGCCCTTTTCTCGCCGCCGCGGCCCGCCTTAGCGGCCGTCGCAGCCCGCCCTAGCCGTCGTCGCCGCCCTTAGTGGCCCGCCTCAGCCGTCGTCGCGGCCCTGCCCTACCTGCCTGCTGCGGCCTGCTTTCGCCGCCCGCGCGGCCCTGCCCTGCCGCCTCTCGTCGCGGCCCTGCTTTGCCGCGGCCTCGACGCGGCCCTCCCCTGCAGCCGCCGTGGCGCGGCCCTGCCCTACTGCCGCTCGGTCCCTCGTCGCGGCCCTGCCCTGCCGCCAAGTCGCGGCCCTGCCCTGCCGCCTCGTTGCGGCCCCTTCCCTACCGGCTCGTCGCGGCCCCTGCCCTGCCAGTCGCGGCCCTGCCCTACTCCCGCCCCTGGTAAGCGCACCGCCGAACCCGCGCCGCCCTGTCGAGCCGCGCCGCCCTGTCGAGCCGCGCCGCCCTGCCGAGCCGCGCTGCCCTGCCGAGCCGCACTGCCTTGCCGAGCCACGCCGCCCTGCTGAACTGCTACTGCTACTGCTGCTGCTGCTGCTGCAGCTACTACTACTGCTACTGCCGCCATGGTTAGCCCTAGTGTTCTTACCTTCGATGCTGAGGGTCGAGCGATTGATTTCGAGGTCTGGGTCGATGATCTGCAGCTCTTTCTGCAGTGCGACTCTAGGGACGGAGTCTCACTGTTCGATCACAAGTCCGGCGTCTCTGTTGCACCTGCTGCTGAGTACGGTAAAGGCAAGCAATGACTATTGTAATATTGAGTCTTCTCTTGAGGTGAGTCGTTGACTGGGAAGGGCAATGAGCCGTCGTAGTACATCCAGATCTGCGCGCTTTATGCCAGGAGTTCACATTCGAAGCTCCAAGTGTAGAAGTCTTTTCCGTCGAAGAGCTTGGTCGTTCTGAGTTTTAATGTTGAAAAAAAATTTCTCTGTGTTGATGCCATTGCCTGGTAATGCGTGTGTTGTGCTTGCGCAAAGCATGCGCTTCGCGATTGTGGAAGGTGAACGAGCGCGCGTTTTGTGCCAGGAGTTCAAATTCGAAGCTCCAGGTGTAGAAGTCCTTCCCGTCGAAGAGCTTGGTCGTTCTGAGTTTTTATGTTGAAAGGAACTTGCTCTGTATTAATGCCATTGCCTGGTAAAGTGTGTGTTGTGCTTGCGCAAATCTTGCGCTCCGCGATTGTTGAAGGTGAACGACCACTCAGAGTGTGCTCCTTGTGGATCGGGAGGTCTGTGGGCGTAGCTAGAGCCGTCAATGCTCATCGCCTGATGGCTCTCCAGTGCGCTGATGCGATTTATAAGCTGCTTGATGAGCACTGTGTCCACAGTTGTCGTTCCAGAGGCGGCATTAGCGGAAGGATGGCCTGGATTTTCTCCAGTTTCACCGCAGTCTGCAACTAGCATGAATCTTTGAATGTAATGTATTTATAATAATGAAGTTGGTTGTTAAAGAACGATGCATTTGTCAAACTATGATGTTGTGTGTGTGGTGTAGGCTGTAGTGGGGTAGCCCATATAGGGTACAACCCAATTAGGGTTAGCACTTGTACCCACCATTCTCATAGTTCATTCATTCTCGCAGGTCCTGTTCCAGGACCGTTTTTTTTAGGACCCAACGATTAGTTCCCTGCCTGTAGTGCGTTACCCTGTTCGTAGCGCCCTATCCTGCCCGTCGCGCTGACCCATCAGTTGCGCTGCCCTGCCCTGCCCGCGCGCCGCCCTGCTGGTTGCCGCGCCGTCCTGCCCTGCCCGCGCGCCATCCTGCTGGCTACAGCGCCGCCCTGCCCTGCCCGTCGTGTCGCCATAGGACCCGCGCGACGCCCTGCCCTGCCCGTTGCGTCGCCCTAGGGCCCGTGTGCCGCCCCTGCCCTGCCCATCGCGTCACCCTAGGGCCCGCGCGCCGCCCCTTTCCTGCCCGCGCGCCGCCCTCTTGCAGCCCGCGCGCCTCCTGCTGGCCACGCGCCACCCCTGCCTGTCCGCACGCCGCCCCTGCCTGCCCGCACGCCGCCTTCTACAGCCCGCGCGCCGCCTTGCTGCCCGCGCTCCGCCCTGCCCCTTGTTACGAAACGAGCTAAACTAGGAACCGGGTTTAGGAGAGGGCCTAGGCTTAGTAGCCTAGGCCAAGCGGGTTCGAGGAGTTTGTGCCAAGGAGAATCGAGAGAACGGGATGAGTTCACTATAGCACACAAGGTACATATAGCAAACTAACAAAGGTGAAAGAGGAGCACCACCATACAAGGGAATTGCACAACAGCTACACTACAGGCAGATTATACTAAATAGATATGAATCTATTGTGACACACCCCCTATCTGCTTGAAGTGCATAACCATGTGCAGAGCCCCCCTTGAAGAGGTACACCTGTAAAACCCCATTACAGGGCGTGGGAACACCAGCAAGGGGCCCCCTCTGAAGCTGACAAGCAGCAACCACCAAGCAGCATCTGAACCACCGCGGTGGAATAGGTGCCCGGCTGCGGTTGAACGCCCCGCAGCAGGTGCACGGTGTGCGAGGAGCACGGGTACGGGTAGCGGGTTCGGGTAGCAACTAGGTGCTGTACGGGACGGGCCACACGGGGGTGACGGGCAGCACGGGACCGAGCAGCACAGACCGGGTGGGGCACGAGCGATAACTGACAGCACGGGTGGGGCACCAACGGGTATGGACAGCACGGGTAGGGCACAAACGGGCAGAATGGGGCAGCACGGGCAGAACGGGGCAACACGGGCAGAACGGGGCAGGACACGGGCTGAACGGGGCAGGACACAGGCTGAACGGGGCAACACGGGGACAATGGGGCAACACGGGGACAACGGGGCAACACGGGGACAACGGGGCAACACAGGCAGAACGGGGCAGGACAAGGGCTGAACGGGGCAACACGGCACGGGAACGGGCACGACACACGGGGCACGGATCACAGGCAGAATCACGGGCAAAATCACGGGCGACAACACGGGCAGAATCACGGGCAGAATCTCGGTCAGGATCACGGGCAGAACGCGGGCAAAATACGGGCAGCACACGGGTATAGTCACGGGCACAATCACGGGCAGCAGTACGGGCAGAATCATGGGCAGAGTCATGGGCAGGATCACGGGCAGAACAAGGGCAGGACACAGGCAGAACAGGGCAACACGGGCACAATGGGGCAGCACGGGCAGAACAGGCAGCACGGGCAGAATGGGGCAGGACACGGGTATAATCACGGGCACAATCATGGGCAGCAGTACATGCAGAATCATGGGCAGAGTCACGGGCAGAACACGGGCAGGACACAGGCAGAACGGGGCAACACGGGCACAGCGGGGCAGCACGGGCAGAACAGGCAGCACGGGCAGAACGGGGCAGGACACGGGCTGAATGGGGCACCACGGGCAGAACGGGTGAAATGGGTGGGGCACGACTGGGTACGGACAGCACGGGTGTAACGGGTGGGGCATAATCAGGTATGGACAGCACGGGTGAAACGGGTGGGGCACAACCAGGTACGGACAGCACGGGTGGGGCACAGACTGGAACGGACTGGCACGGGGCAGCACGGGACGCACGGGAGCACGGGAGAACGGGAACGACGGGGTAGCAGCACGGGAGACACGGGGCGGAGGGATGATAAGAGCTTGAATGGTGGTGGTTGCTGCAGCTGGAACATCCACCCACACCCCCTGAACCTCCCCCCCACAGCAGCAGCAGCGGCAGAGAGAGAGAGGAGGAGGCGTGGCGACAGTTGCTGCAGTTTGATCACCCCCTCTATGTCACTCCCCTCCCAACAGCTGCAGTTGCGGTAGGGAAGGCGACGGGGAGTGGGGGAAGGGAAGACGGACGGGTGGTAGGCGTTGGCGGCAGTTCTGGCGCTTGCGCTGGCGTTCACTACTGACAGCCGCCCACCACCCCTTTCCCGACCACGCCTCCCCCCCCCCCCCCCACATGAGCCGCCAACCCTGCCACTCCCGCCACTCCCGCCATTCCCGCCGCCACCGCCCCCACTGTCCTCCACACCCACCACCGCCAAACACGGCATAGGCAGGCGCGGTAGAGGGGGAAGGCGCGACGAGGGATGGACGGGGAGGGGCAGCGACAGTGCGGGTACGGGACGAAATGGCAGTTGCTGACGCGGCCGATGCAGGCGGGGCAGGGACGGGTCGTGCAGATGCGGGTGGCGTACGGGAGACGGGCGGGGTGGGGACGGGGACACGACTGGTGACGGCGCGCAAGGTGCTGGCGCGTTGGCGGGCCGGTGACGGGCTTGTTGGCGGAATCGCAGGCGTGCTGGCGTATGTGCTCGCGGGCTTGTCGGCGGGCTCGCTAGCGTTTCCGCTGGCGGGGTCATTGGCGATTCCGCTGGCCGGCTTGCTGGCGTTCCCGCTGGCGATTTCGCTGGTGCGTTCCTGGCGTGCGCATTGGCGTGGTCGCGGATGGGGTCACAGTCGCGTAGGCGAACACGCTGGCGGGCCGCTGGCGGTTTCGCTGGCGGTTTTGATGGCAGGTTGCTGGCGGGTCCGCTGACGATCGCCATAGCGTCCGCCGCGGCCGTCGTGCTGAGGGCCGCGACGAGACAGGCGACGGGACGGCCGCAAGAGTACTCGCCGTGGTGCCCGTCACTAAGGTCGCAACTAAGGACGTGACGGGCGCCATGACAAGTGCGTCAAATGGTGGGCCCATAGGAACGTGACGGCTCGATACCATGTTACGAAACGAGCTAAACTAGGAACCGGGTTTAGGAGAGGGCCTAGGCTTAGTAGCCTAGGCCAAGCGGGTTCGAGGAGTTTGTGCCAAGGAGAATCGAGAGAATGGGATGAGTTCACTATAGCACACAAGGTACATATAGCAAACTAACAAAGGTGAAAGAGGTGCACCACCATACAAGGGAATTGCACAACAGCTACACTACAGGCAGATTATACTAAATAGATATGAATCTATTGTGACACCCCTGCCCGTCGCGTCCGCCCTGGCAGCCCGCGCGCCGCCCTCTGCAGCCCGCGAGTTGCCCTTGCCTGCCCACGCGCCCTCCACTGCCCGCGCGCCGCCCTACATGCAGCGTGCCGCCTTGCTCTGGCCGCGCACCGCCCTTTCCTGACCGTGCGCCGCCCTGACCTACCCTAGTGCCTGCTCGCCGCCCTGCCTTCCCTGCGTGCTGCCATGCTGGTCGCACACCTTCTTGCTTTGCCCGCTATGACTTCTCTTGTGGTAGCGGTGGGAGTGGTGGCGGCGGTGGTGGCACCAGTGGGAGTGGTGGCGGCGGACGTAGTGGCAGTCTCGGTGGAGCTGTTTGGTGGGGCGTTTCTGGCGGTGACAAGATGCAGCTCTAGCGGCGTCCGCGCGAGACCCTCACGCCCCAGCAGCTTCGTGAGTGGTACGCTTTTGGGAGTGGTGGCGGCGGCCGTAGTGGCAGTCTCGGTGGAGCTGTTTCGTGGGGAGTTTCTGGCGGTGGCCAGGTGCAGCTGCAGTGGCGTCCGCACGAGACCCTTTAGCCCTAGCAGCTTCGCGAGTAATACGCGCAGCGTGGGGCGTCTCGGAGTAATGCTCGCTGCCCACATGTCATTCGCACAAGTGATCGAGCAGGTCAGACTTGCGGAACAGTTGGTCACACAGAGTCCCGCTGCTTCTCCTGTCTGAGCGACGCCTGGCGCGTAGATTTTGGTGACGCGACTGAGCTCCCCCGCTGGCTTGAGCTGCTTCGGAACAATGTGGATTTATTTGCTCTAGACTATGACGCTATCCTTACTGCCATGTATGCTTTGACTATTGGTACTGAGGGTGAATGTTACTTGTGTGTGCCGCCCAACCTTGGTATAGACGCTGCTGCTCTAGGTGCTAGTGAGTCTGCTCTCTCTGGTACTGAGCCTGCTAAGGCCTTGCACACCTACACGCTTGACTCAGGTGCTTCCCGCTGCTTCTTTTGCGATAGTACCCACAGTCACACCACTCCCTGCACCTATTGCAGACTCTCTGACTAACCCCTCTGGGGGCCCAGTTCTTGCACGTTTCTCCACTGTCCTTCCGTGTCCGGCGGTTCCGTCTGGGTTACTGACAGGTCTTCACCTCCCCTCATTTTCTAAGAACTTGGTGAGTAACGCCGTCCTTCAGGATGCTTGGGTTGATACCTTTACCCTTGGAGGACAGCGTGTGGCGATCTGCACGTGTGCACGGACGGGCCGTTACCTGGCCACGTTCACCCGTTGGCCTGGGTCGAGCCTGTACACACTGACTACCGAGCCTACTCAGGTCGTTGCGTCTGGTTAGGTGCCGGCGTCAGGTCAGCTATCAGCCCCTTGTTCGTGTCGCCTCCTCTCGCAGACTCTCCTCTGGCTCCACCGCCTTGGTCACCCCTCCCTGCCACGCCTACGTGGCATGCACTCCCGCCTCCTTGTCTCTGGCCTTCCCAAGTCTCTGCCCCCCCTCCCGCGCTCGCCTGCCCCACCCTGCCTTCTTTGCGTCGAGGGGTGGCAGCGCGCCGCTCCTCAATCCTCCTCGTTTCCCCCGACGACTGCTCCCCTGCAGACTCTCTGCATGGACGTGTGGGGCCCAGCCCGCGTCCAGGGACAGGGCCGCGAGTGATACGTTCTGCTGGTTGTTGAACGACTACACGCGTTACACCACAGTCTTCCCCTTGCACAGCAAGGGTGAGGTCCCCGATGTCTTGATCCCTTGGATCTGAGCAGTCCGTCTCCAGCTCCGCGAGCGATTCTGTGAGGACCTTCCTATCCTGCGTCTGCACTTTGACAGAGTTGGTGAGTTCTCCTCCGACCTCTTACAGGACTTTTGTCGTGGGGAGGGCATCCTCCAGTCGTTCACGCTTCCGGCCACCCTGCAGCAAAACAGGGTTGCTAAGCGCCGCATTGGCCTATTCATGGAGGTGGCTCGTACCTCCATGATCCATGCAGCTGCTCCCCATTTTCTGTGATCGTTTGCCGTCTGGTACGCTGCGCATCAGCTCAACCTCTGGCCCCGTCTCTCCTTACCGGAGACCTCGCCTATACTGCGTTGGACGGGGGAGGTTGGCGATGCGTTGGTGTTCCGGGTCTGAGGCGCTCGTGCCTTTGTCCGGGATAATTCCGCAGACTAGCTCTCCTCCCGCGCCATTCCTTGTGTCTTCATTGACTTCCCCCCTGACACGCCTGCTCGACAGTTTTACCACCCCACCTCGTGCCGTGTTCTGTCCTCTCAAGACGTCACGTTTGATGAATCGGTTCCTTTTTACCGTATCTTCCCGTACCGCACTGCCCCCTCTCCTCCCCCCCCCGCCGCTCTTCCTCGCTCCAGGTCCACCACCGGTACACCCTCTCCCCGCTCAGGGTCCTGCTCCTTCAGGTGTGTCTCAGGTAGACCCACTACCCTTGGTTGAGCCTGTTGAGGTCACTGTCGAATCTCGTGCTGCTCAGGGTGCTGCGTCTGGGGGTGCTGAGCCTGCCGGTGCGGGGCCTGACTGTGCGGAGCCTAGGGGTGCTGAGCCTGCGAGTGCGGAGCCCGGGGGTGCTGAGCCTGAGCGTGCTGAGCCAGGGGGTGCGGAGCTTGGGGGTTCGGAGCCAGCACCTCCAGCACTCCAGCATGGAGTTGCGCTGCTGGAGTTGGAGGCACTAGAGCTGCCGGAGCTGGTGGTGCTGCTGGTGCTGGAGGTGCGGGGGAGCTGGAGCTACTAAACCTGGAGGTCCTACTGGTGCCTCGCGCCAGCAGTCTAGCCGGCGGGAGCCTCTCTCACAACAGCAGCTGCGCGAGTGGTACGCTTCGCGCACCCGCCTTCGGAGTGGCGCTGCTAGAACTTAAGGCCCTGCCGCTGGAGGCGCTGGCGGTACTGGCACTGCTGGTCCCGGAGGTGCTCGTGCTGGAGGTGCTGGAGCTGCCGGAGCTGGTGGGGCTGCGATCTCTGGAGCTGGAGGCACTGGATCTGGAGGAGCTGGAGCTGGTGACCCGGGAGCTGGAGGTGCTGGAGCTCGAGGCGCTGGAGCTGGAGGCGCAGGAGCTGGAGGTACTTCAGGTGCTGGAGCTGCTAGTCCTGCAGGTGCTGGCGGTCCTGCTGGAGTTGGAGGTACTGCAGGTGCTGGAGCTGTTGGTACTGGAGGTGCTCGTGCTAGAAGCACTAGAGCTGCCGAAGCTAGTGGTGCTGCTGGTGCTGGAGGTATTGGAGGTGCTGAAGGTGCTGGAGCTGCTGATCCTGGAGGTGCTCGTGCTGGAGGTACTGGAGCTGCTGGTGCTGGATGTGCTAGAGGTGCTGGAGTTGCTGGTCCCGTAGGTGCTCATACTGGAGGTACTGAAGCTGCTGGAGCTGGTGGTGCTGTAGGCGCTGGAGATGGAGACCATGGAGTTGGAGACCCTGGAGCCGGGGGTGCTAAAGCCGTCGGTACTTGTGCTGGAGGCACAGTGCGGCTGCAACCATACTTTGTTCCACTACTTCGCCAGGTTCTTAGTCTCCCGTCTTCTACTGACCTTACTCCACCTCTACTGTATCCACCACCTGACCAGTCGCAGCCACAGTTACTGCCAGCCTCCCGCTCCTTCTCCTTACACTGAGCAGACAGTGAGCCTGCGTCTCGCCCTGCCTTGCCTGCTTGCACTAGTTGCACTGGTCGTTGTGTTCCGCGTCCGCGGCCTCCTCCTGTCCCGAGCACTCACACTATGGCACTTCGTCCTTCCTCTGTTCCACTGCGAGTTCCTCTGCCATCTCCTACTGCGTCCTCTCTTCCTGACGTCCCGGACCTTGAGTCTGACTTAGTTCGTGCTGCCAGTTCTACTGACACACGTCTTCTAGCCACTGGTGTCACCGACACTTCGTTTTAGTCCACTGCTGCGTCCGCCCTAGTTGCTGAGCTTGTAGAATTTGCTCCTGCCTGTCGTCTCGACAACGCCGCTTGTCTTATTGCTGAGTCTGAGTTGGTCTGTCCTCCGTCCGTCGGGGGTGAGTGTGCTCTTGGCACGGACGTCCTTAAGGACAGGCAGGAGGACTTTGAGTGTCTTGAATCTGCTGTACCTCATCTCGTGTCCATGCTGCTTGCACGTAAGGGAGACCCAGATGCTCCAGACATCCTGACCAGGCGCTCTTACGCACAAGCGATTACGGTTCCCTACTCCTCTCAGTGGTAGACAGCCATGGACGCAGAGATGGCATTCTAGAAGTCCACAGGCACTTACGTCGACGCAGTTCCCCCTCCTGGGGCGAACATAGTCGATGGGATGTGGATTTTCAGGGTGAAGCGGCAGCCGGGTTCTCCGCCTGTCTTTAAGTCTTGTTACGTTACACTAGGCTTTAGTCAGCGATAGGGAGTTGACTTCATCGAGACCTTCTCCCCGACCCCGAAGATGACCACTCTTCGGGTGCTGCTGCATGTTGCA